CTCTTTCACCTCTTAACCCTAAACCCTAGTCATGCCACTAAGGAGATACATGCCCGAGCCATCCGGAAAGAGAAACAACGAGAGATCCACCAACTTGTACGAAGGCTTGCAGACATTGAGGATAAAATGCAATGGGAGGTTACACTCGACCGTGATCGGGAGAGACAAATGGGCTCCAGTATCCAACGTCAGTTCCTCCCAGCTTACTATAGACAAAAGGTTCAAACTCTAGCTTCAGAAGTGGAGAAACCACATCACCAGGCAACGTCTTGCAGGCAAAGCTCAACCTCGAGGTCTTACCTCCGGATTTCACCCAAGAGAACACCATTGAAGATGACCCTGTCAAAGGAGAGTGAAGAACAAGTGAAATCAACCCGCATCCCAAAGTTTGTCACAGCCAGGAAGCGTTGTAGGTGTCATGGATTTGGGCATATTGAATCAGGCTGCATAACTAGGAGGTGATATGTTTCACTGAGTAGAGCGTTCATGAAATTTTGGGCAATCACACAATAGACACGCAAGACGGCGAAGACATAAAGGAGGAGGATCAACTACCAGTTGAAAAGATAAAAAGTGATCCGGAAGATGATGCCGACTTCAGTGACGATTCTCAATTTTCAGCCAACGAGAAAGAGACGTCATCAATTCCAATTGACCCAAAGGTAGAGATTCCAGCTGAAATAAAAATTGTCGTTCTAGAAGGTAGTGACTCTCACGTAATGGGCATTCAGGCAGAATACGAGACTATTGTGCTAGAGATAGAATTTTGCATGCGTTGGGAGGAGCATCACAGAACTGATCTTGGATATCCAACGCGGCCATGAGTTTGAGAAGCTGATATAAGACACAGGATACCTCCATATGAGAAAAAATCAGAATTTTCATATCCATAGTCTCATCCTTGAGTTGGCCCTACTGAGGGAAGTCCCACATGTTCGTGATGAGACTCTTTTGTGCCACGTCGGGAAGATTTCAGAGAGTTGTTCAGATGTTAGATTCCATTCAGTATGGTACCCATCCTCGAATGTCTAGACAGGAGGGATGAAACTCAGCTTTAAAATTTGTATTAGGAGTTGGATGGGGACGAAAATTCTTCAATGAAATTCAGGTCCTATCAGTGAAGAAAAGATCTCTCCTAAATAGGTGCTAGTGAGAGTGGTGTAACTAGCCATATACTTCACCCCAGAAATAATTTCTCCCCGCATACTAGTTTATCAGATGCGCTTGACTAAGTAATAGTGGAAGAAGCAGGTTACAATTGGGCGGCTCAATACCTGATGCGTGAGAATATTCATCTCTCTATAATTCCAGCTCAGATTGTGTCAAAGGTGGATGGGTACCTATTCTACTAGAACATGTTGTGGAATGACAATGCCTACATGATCAATCTACCAGGGGACTTGACTTCGTCTACAAGGAGTCAAAAGCATCGACGAATGAAGTCGACGATCCCCCAACCCCAGGATAATTACGCGGCGACTAACGTGCTGACCTACAATGTGGAGGGGTGAACCTCCTCTCACTTTCATTACGCAGAAATTATTTCCCCCATTCCATTTCTATTTTTTTGCTTATATTTCTATTATAAATATGTGTTTATGGTCTTAGGGTTTAGTTTTTGCTGAGTTTGGGTTGAGATTTATGTTTGTTAGTTGTTGGCGTCTTGTTTTCCCTTTCTAGATCTATATAAGATGACGAGTGGTGTTTCGGTTATATCTCACTTTGAGGTGGTGTTTATCATTGATTATTTCATCCTCCACAACCTCCCCTCCGCTATCGCCTTCGTCGTACCTTACTACAGAACCCAGGAGACATAAACCCAACAATTTTCCTGCAACCATCCATTCATCTCCATCTCGTACTTTCTTTTCCTCCAACCTAGTCGCATGTCCTCTCCTTGATGTCGTTCACTCCCTGCACTTTTGGTTGGTTGTCAAATCTCTCCTGTATCATGTGAGCTATTGTTGTTTCTTCCCTCACCTTCTAGGTTTGACACCGCAACACTACCTGCTAGCCTCTCTCCCAGTTATACTTTAATACCAACCCTCTATCCTGTTGTGAACCTCATCCAGCAAAACTTCAGCCCTCCTTGTGCCTACTCATTAGCAATTTTTCCTACCTACGTCCGCTAGACTCCACCCTCCGACTCGTGGATTGTCCATCCATTACATAACCACTCATACCCCTTACTTTTCCCTCTAATCGCACCACCACCACCTCGACTTAGGCCTTAGATTTGTGTTTGTGTCATTATTTCCTGCTTTTCAAGTTTCTTATTTGTAACCCTATTGAATGTCAGTAATTCGATTGTGGTTTGGGTTAACTCTGGTATCAGAGGCGCCAGTGAAATTGGCCTTGGTAACACTATTGAGAATGACTCAGCATGTCATTATTTCATATAGAAATGAGAATGTTTTGAGTTATTGATGAATGGCTTTATGAAGTAAACTGGGCACTACGTCCCAAGTCGGTTTAGCAAAGCCACATAAGATAGATGGTCAAATATAAGTGATGAATCACAACTTTGAAAATATTTACAAGTGTTTTATGGGAAAAAAACATCATATATTGTGATCCAAAGATTTTCAGAGAAGATGGCAAAGCCTCTCCTAGGCGGCGAGAGTGACACGGTACGCAAAAGTTCCTACAATATCGCTAGCCAAAACTTTCAACTCCCGCAACCGAGCAAACAACAGGTCGATTTTCCTTTTTTTTAATTTTTATCTATTTTATTTTCAACAAGTTTCTTTCTTTTAGGTAAGACTTAAAAAATTAAAAGATTAGTTTAGATCAGATTTAAGGAGTCCAAGAATAAAATTAGACACAATAGATAGTATGAAACTAAAATAGGCCCCCTATAAACTGGTCAGGTGACCATTTTGACCTTTTTCTCATTGATTATATGTGCTTAGACTTTTTTTATTGCATTTGAATTGGTTTGATTTACCTAAAAATTGAGGAATAATGAAAAAGTGCTTAAACCTTAATTACTTTTTTTACAACTAAATAAAAAGGTATTTTAATTATTCTAACAATATTATTTTCATATAAAACCAAACAGATCATATTATTTATAGCAAAATATACTCAAGTTCGAAGTTGCATGAGTTTTGAACTTGCGGTCATTATTTTAAAGTATAATTTAGCTAAGATTATGAAATTTATAATATTTAGATTTAAATTTAAGCAACTATAAAAATGATTGTGACCAAAAATCATTTGAAACATACTTATTTTATCATATTACTCGTGTGTTTCAAACTTTATGACTTTTTAAATTGAATTTTTTTTTTTATGTATTTTTGAAATGAATAAAGAAAGTGGTAAATTAATGAAATTTCATATTTTTAGCAAATTTTGAAGATTTTATTTTAATTCACCTAACGTTCATGTATTAATTAAAATTTTTACCATAGCCTTTCTACACATCAATTTTCTGAAAATCAATTTTATATTTTTAATTTCATTTAATGCATTTTAAAATGTTGTGTTGGCTCATTCTGTTGGAAGAAAATGACTCCCCACAAACCCAATAATTGGTCCTTGTTAACTATGTTATCACATAGCTAATCTTTAATGCTTCGCACAGCTACTTAGTAGGGCGTATTAAGCAGTAAGGAGATCCTCCTAAAATAGCAAGGACTAGTGTTCATAACAGTTAAGAGGCAATATTGTACCCTACTTCTGTTGATAGGGTGAAGGGATTTTTTGTCTTTTTGAGAAGCCTCTTAAGCCTACATTAAAGATGCAAAAAAGTAGTCATATGACATGGAATGACGAAGAAATGTACCAGATGGATAAATCATTTGGAGGAGTACAAAATTGTTCATCTATGTAAACACCTAGAAATATTAACCTATAGTGGTTAGTTTGTTTCTTGTTTTCATTTTGTATCTTTCAATCAATCAATAGGAGAGATTGTGTATTTTGATTTCTTTGGCATAAGTTTATTGCCCCAACAAAGCATTGGTAGGAAAGCTAAAATCTCTTGTAACAAAGTTCTTAGGTTTGCTTGCCCCGTAAGAAGGGTGTTTGTGGCTATGCTCCTTATGTGTATGAGAGTACATTTGGCACAATGGCTACATTGTCATTAGTACTGAGCTTCTCCTCCCAGTGAGCAAGCATAGAGGAATCCAAAGCGATGGTGTGATTAAATGTAGATGGTTAGTCGAGAATCATACAAAAAACATGTTTCCATCTCTTATAGCTTTACCTCACATTTACTTGCATTATTTACATTGGGATATGTTCATGTGATATTTGAATGGTTATGTTCTCATGTGCCAAACTAATAAACTAACCATTATATCGTGCTTTGAAATAATAAAACTTTCACTTTTAGCATTATGTTTGATCATTCCTGCCGTATAATAAACACTTGCATCTTGTGTTATTTGGTGTTTGATAAACTGGAATGAAAATAGCTGTATAGCTAAGTTGATATATCATCATCATGCTTGCAAGTCACATTGCTCACATATATAGCTTACTTTATCCCAATAAATTTCAAAGCATATGTATGGTTGCACTTGTAGGTTTCATCACTCATTTACAAGTTTATGAGCTAGTATAGTATAGTGAAATCATTATTATTGTCCTTAATGTGATATCATAAGTTTGTGTTCGTATAGTGTAGTGAAATCATCATACTTAGTGTTTGATCGCTCACTGATTAGTATGACAGGTCATACACACATATGTAAACCAAGATTAAATTAAGGTTGTATGCTTATTTACTTATCCGCCGAACTAGGATGGATTTAATTGGAAGTGTTTTGAAAGATATTTTAACCGAATTCATCACATTTTTTCATGCCTTAAACTATCATAAAAATGTTACACACTAAGCAATTAAGTAGCATAGAAAGCACAAATCATCTTCTCTAATTGATAGTCCACAAGGCTATTAGGAACATAGCAATCTGCAGAATAACAGATGGATATTTGTAAATAATGTATGTAGGATGAAAAAAAAAAAACATCATCTTACATCATCTTACCTGCAACTGAAGAAGTGTGTGGAGGATGAAGTTGCGAGCAATGTCGTACTCACCCATCAACAGAAATGCAATACCTGAAGAAATGAAGTCACGTATGAAAACCTGATCATAATTTAGATCACTTCCATCAGTAAGGATCTTTGCCGCAATAGTGCCAACAGGAGTCCCACAGTAGTACACAACAGACTCTTGTAGAAGATGCAAGGCTTCATCCTCAATGGACGATCCTTTCCTCTTTGGTGTTGCAAAGTTCACTGCTCCAGTAGCTGCACATTTCCTATCATTTGAGCTGATTTCTTCATTAACATGTCTCACTTGTTTAATCTCCTCAATACCCAAAACCTTCTGAGCAGCGGCCTCATGAAGCAACTGGCTTTTTGCACCCGACTTCCCTTTCAGCAAGGCACCATTACCATCCTCATTTGAAATCCCAGTGACGCCATCAGTACGGTGACATCGGCCTTTCAAAAGCTGAAACCTCTTCCTTTCCGCTTTTCCATAGGAAGATTTTATCTTTTTCCCATTTACAGTGACCAAATTTTGGCTAATTCTTGAATAAGAATGCAACTTCATGTTAAATGAGCACTTCTTCCGCTTAGACCTCGCATGAGTGTCCCAGGTTGTGATCAACTGTGTTGTACCGGCCAATACACCGGAAGAGGAACCCGATACAACCCCGAAGAGCCCTTGCAGCGTTGCACCTGGTATTCCCATGATAATTAAAATTGAACTTGCAAACAGCTTTTTCACTTCAGCTTTAACAAGCCCGCAACAATAAGATCTTCAGCATATCAAGTCCAAAAACCAAATCTTAGAAGAGCTGCACTTAAAAAAAAAAAAACAGAAAATGAATAAATGAAACAATAATTAGACAGGAGCATCCCAGCTGATTTGAACAATAATGAAAGTAAAAATTAACCAAAAATGGTATCCTAGATGGGAAATTCCATCTCTTAGCAAAAACAAGTCAAGTAAAACCCTACTCAACCAAGCGAGCAAAATCAGAAGAAAGCAAGAAATTTCTTTGCCCAATCGAGGAGATCACTCACCCTAAACCAGAAATTTACGGCGATCATTCGAACATGCGATTCCACGTTGAAGAATTAAGGAGAGAAGAAAAATCTCCTGGTAATCCAATCCCGAGTTCTCTTGTTCTTATAGTTACACGGATCAACAATCCTACCCACAGCATGGAACTATGAAAGGAGACAAATCCACTACAAAATCGAAGGAAGGTCAAAACTGATATTTTATCTCTCTCTCATATAAATAAAAATTAAAATTTGAGTGGGACAATTGACTCTCTAAATTCTTGTATATGGAAAAAATTTGTGTGTGTAAGACGTACGTAGTACTCTATATGTCAGTTATATGTTGGGGGTTATATCTGTGTTATACCTCATGTAACCTCCTTGTAACCTACTATTACCTATTACCGAGAAATATATGAAAACAGAAACGTGGAACTTATTAGAAGGTACAGGTAGGTTACAGAGGGTATAACGTAGTTATAACCTCCCAATAGCCTCCTTGTAACATACTGACGTACGCAGCGCTGCGTGCGTCTTAAGTACTCAAATTTTTTTCGAGAAATATATGAAAACAGAAACGTGGAACTTACTAGAAGGTACAGGTAGGTTACAGAGGGTATAACGTAGTTATAACCTCCCAATAGCCTCCTTGTAACATACTGACGTACGCAGCGCTGCGTGCGTCTTAAGTACTCAAATTTTTTTCCCTTGTCTAGTTCTTCTGGCTCTCTAAAAGGGTAATACATATTTCCATGCATAAAAATTAAAGTTTAGAAGTTAAGCATGTAAATACATGGGAATTGATTGTTATGTATGTAAATCTTCCAAATTATATTAGTTTTAGATAGATTTTTATGGCAAGCATAACTTAAATTATCGAATTTACTAAATTATTGTTATTTATCGATTACATTGGAATTGATTATTTTGTATGTAAATCTTCCAAATTAATATGATTTTGGGGCATTTACATACATACCAATCAATTTCTATGTATTTCTAAATTTCACCTTTTGCATTATTACAATTCAAATCTTTATAACAAGTTGAAAAGAGCACTTTTTTAACCTAAAAAAATATGTAATGCATAGTTCATGCATATATAAGGCGGAATCTATGTAAAAATTAGAGTTTAAGTGTTACATATGTAAATACATAAGAATTGGTATGTAAAAATTAGAGTTCAAGTGTTACATATGTAAATACAAAAGAATTGAGTGGTGTGCATGTAAACTTTCAAAAGATTGCAAGGCAAACCATATATGCATATAAACCAAAAAAATTCTGAGTGTTATGCATTTAAATAAAAAATTTGAGTGTTTGATATGTAAATATGTAAAATTTGTGTGTTATGCATGTAAATGCCCCTTAATTTAATCATATATATGTTGCTGCAATTTGGCTGGCTAACTGTATTAAGTATAGTGAGTCATATCAAACAACTAAACCATGTTATTATAAAGTATGATTTACATATATATCACTCATTTTTGGTGTATTTACATATCTAACTTCTAAGCTTCAATTTTTACATAAACGACACATTTCTTATGTATTAAAAGGTGCATTTTATTTTTACATGTTAGAAGGGGTGTCTTTTTGATGTAATAGAAGAGATTTGAATGATGTAAATGTGAAAATAAAGTATAGTTGTTCGTAAATACGTAAGAATTATGTGGTATGTATGTAAATGCTCCGCCTCAAAATCTTATTCAATGAAATAAACTCTAAAAGAGGACATAAATACTAATGCAAGCAAATTATGACTTCCAATATTTTGATCAGCTTTTAAGAAGATTTACACACATACCCTCAATTCTTATGTATTCATATATTTAACACGTAAATTTCAAAATTTACATGCATATCACCTTAAAATAATGATATTTTTTATGTGATATAAAAATTATGGGTGGTATAAATATAAAAAGTAAAATTTAGGTGCTAGTTATGTAAATGCATGAGAATTGAGTGGCATGTATGTAAATGCCCCTAATTTATGGGCATCTGTCATCCGAGTCGATGAGCAAGAGGTTTGGATAAGGAAATGCTGACGCAATTTTGATTTGCATGATTTTTAATTTGGCTTAAAATATAAATTTCAATTGACTTGTTTTGGAGGATCTGCGGTTGCCAAACGCCGGATGGGGAAATTGGCAGACTACAGATGTTTATTTAGAAGTGATTTCTTTAACAAAACTACGTCAATTGTTTGTGTATGGAGCACATAAACACTAGGAATTGCAACATTCATTTCAGGTGCAGATGTGATGAGGATTTGCTTGTTAACATTAGTGAGGGATTTGATGGTTCCCGGGTCATGCTTCAAAGGTAGAGCGAGTGGAAAGGTTGTGCTTGAGACGGGAGATCTGGAGTCGTATACGGTTTTCTCTTTCGATTTGATTTTAGGCCCTCGTTTCATTTGAAAACTTACTGGTAGTGTAGTCTCTCGGCGATGCGTGACAAGGGTGAAGTTATGTGGAGCAATATTATTTAGTCGATAGTGGATTTCGGTTGATTTCTCTTGTGCGATCAAGAACGGATGGAGTGTTTAAATTTAATGTATGTTCCAAGATAGTAGAAAGAAAATGTGTGATATGTAAATTTTTCCTTATCTTCATAGTGAAATTTTTTGTGATGTGTGGCTCCATGGTTTATTCCTCTTATCGGCTTCTTCCAATTTAAATCTTGTGTGCTTTTTTTCTTGATTATGCATTTTTTTCAATAGTTCATTCTGAATCTCTAAAATTGATGTGTAATTTGGTTGTTAATTGATCAAATACGGTCTATAAGTCCCCAGTAAGTGGTATCAGACCAAGAAGTTCAACTCAAACATTGTGTTCTAAAGAATACAAGTTGAAGAGTTGTTGAATAATATCCGCCATTAGAAGAAATCACCAAATAGTCTGAATTTATGACTCTGTAAGAATGAGAAGCGTCTGAGTTAATAGTCATAAGTTTGATCTGTCTTTAACTTTCATCATTTTATGCTTTCAACATAACAAATGAAAAAACTACGACGAATCTCATAGTGATGCTGAAAAATATGCATGATAACCTTCAATGTCAAATAAGGTTTTTTTATGACAAAGGTATTTAATATGAAGATGTTGAAAGGTAGTTTAGTGGCTCAACACTTGAATAATTTCAAAAGTGTGACTAAATAGTAGTGTTATATGGGCATCAAGTTCAATGACAAGGCCATGGCATTGTAAATTTTATCTTCATCACCAGAAAAATGGGACGGACTAGTCACAACGACGGGTAACTATTCGGATAATATGAAGTTAAACTTTGATGATATGATCAAATTAATGCTAAATGAAGAAGTTTACCATAAGACAAACAATGAATCTTCAAATTCCACGTTGACTGTTGAGAATAGAAGAAGAAAGTTTGAAATGAATGTAGGCAAAACCATATTCAATTCCAGATGAGAAAAAATCTAGGTCATGAAAAGCAAAATGACATTGGTGAATGATGGAACTATGGGAAGAATGCTCATTTCAAAAAAAAAAAAAAAACAAAGCTCAAAAGAAGGCAGAAAAAAAAAACAAAGCTCAAAAGAAGGCAGGTGACAAAGGCAACGATAAGAATCTCTCTACTAAGATCTCCACAGCCAAAATCCAAAGTGACTTTCTAGTTCAATCTCTATTCAATATTGAATCTTGGATAATAGATTCAAATGTCTCTTTCATGTATGCCTCAATAAAATGGTGCTTAAAAACTATACTCAAAGTGATTCAAGTAATGTGTATTTCTGAGTTAATAAAGCCCACAATATTATGGAAAAGTGTGATGTTGATATTAGGTTGTCAAATGAAATAGTTTGGATGCTTAGTTAAGTTAGATACATTCCAAGTTTGAAGAGAATTTTGATCTTGATAAGTCAGCTTGCAAGATCGGGGTATGTGACTACTCTCATAAGTGATTCATGGAAGGTGGTTAGGAGAGCAATAAGGATGGCTTGGGGCAACATTAAAAATAACTCTTTGTCTGATCATTAAGATGACAAAATTCATTATTGTGGATGGAACAAAGTTTGATGTAAATCTTTGGCTCTTTATGTTTAGCCATATGAGCGAGAAAAATATGAACTCCCTACTTTCTAAGAACGAGCTTTAGTGTTTAAAATCTATAAATCTAGATATTTGTGAATATTGTATATATGGAAAGAAAAAAAAAACTTTCTTCAAAAGTAGGTCAATGGTAAAGTCCAAGAAGCTAAAGTTAGAGCATATGGATGCATGGGGTCTTAATCCAATTTAATCCCTTAGAAGTTTACATTGTTTTCTCACTTTCATAAATGATCACACTAAAAAGGTATATATTTACTTCTTAATCCATAAATAAGTTGTATATGAGGTGTTTAAGAAGTTGAAGGTCATGATAAAAAATGAAACATGCTTGAAGTTGAAGTATCTCAGATCAAATAATGACATCAAATATTGTGATCAGAGTTTTAATACTTATTATGCAATAGAAGGGAGCAGGCATGAGTTCACTATTCCAAGGACACCACAATAGAATAGTGTGGCTCGGGACATTGATATAACCATCATAGAGTGTGTCAGGAGTATAAAGTTGCATGCATGTTTGTCAAAGTAACTTTAGGTTGAAGCGGTGAACATTGTTATTTATATGATTAATCATGGTCAATCAGTACATTTAAATAAAGGTATTTGGTTTTTCGACATATATTCATATCGATCTAGGATTCAGGAGTAAGCTTGACTCAAAATCTGTCAAGTTCATTTTCATTGGATATGATTCATATAACTTTGGGTATAAATTATGGGATTATCAAAATCAAAAGTTCATCAGGAGCAATAATGTGACTTTCTATGAAATAGAAATATACAAGGATAGGAGCATAACTCAAGATTTTCCATCAGTTATTTCTAAAAAACCATCCAAATATATTGAGATAGAAGCTAATGGTGATGGGAAGATGGAGAAAGAATATGTGCTCAACTTGATGAAGCATGGGATGTTCCTCATACACCTAAGCCTAAAGTCAGGAGGTCCAATAGAATCACAAGACTAACATAAACATATTGTTTTTCTTTGTGATATCTTTTGATAATTGATAACGGTGAACCACAATTATAAAGACGACACTCAAGTTAAGGTTTTAAAGGAGTGAGAGTTTACCTTGGATAATGAGATGCAGTCATTGACTTCAAATTGGACTTATGATTTTATGAAATAATTAGATGGTAAAAAGATACCACACAAAAAGTGGGTTTATAGGTTGAAAGAATAGTTAAATGTTAGCAGGTACTATAACTCAAGGCTTGTTGTGAAGGGGTTTCATTAGAAGGACTAAGATAATCTCTACTGCAGTGAAGATAATAATTATCAAAGTTGTGATGAGCTTAATTTTAGAGGAAATCTAAATCCTGAGCAGATGATTGTAAAGACAATCTTCTTACATGGTGATCTGTAAGAGGATCTATATATAATGCAACCGTAGGGTTATGAGGTTCTGATGAAATATGATATTGTCTACAAATTAATGAAGAGCCTTTATTGTTTAAAGTAGGCCCCGAGATTGTCGGTACACAAACTGTCAGACAAAACACTATTATTTCATTAAAAATTTTGGTGATTTTTATATTTTGCTACTTTTTTACGTGGATGGCTTGTTGATTACAAGAGAAGATATAGAGAAAATCAGATACTTAAATGCATAACTATCAAGGGAGTTTTAGATGAAGGATTTATAAACCAAGAAGATCATTAGTATAAGAATCAATAGGGACAAGAGTATAATTACTTTGAAGTTATCTCAAAAGAGTATATTGAGAAAATCCTACATAGGTTCAACATGTGTGAGTTTAAAATAGTGTGCACCTCCTTAGGTAGTCACTTTAAACTATATTAGGAACTATCGCCTAAGTCTGGAGCAGAGTAAACAAAGATGGAATGAACTTTGTATAATTCAATTATAGGAAGTCATATGTATATTATGATATGTGTAAGACCAAATACTGCACATGTAGTGGGAGTGACCAGTAACTATATGGGCAATCCAGGCAAGCATCATTGAGAGGGGTGAGATGGAATCTCATATATTTGAAGGTAACATTCAACAAGACACTTTGCTTTGAAAGAGCAAAGATTGAACTATAAATATATAGATTCAGATCAAGCGGGGAATATAGATGATATTTTAAGTACAACATGGTGTATTTTCACTTTGGGGAACACATCAACGCATTGAATTTCTAACCTGCAGAAGATTGTTGCACTTCAATTACTGAAGCTACATTGTTATCATTTAGGATATCAAGAAGTTGATTGGTTGTAAAGTTTTATGGCATAATTGAGCAAGGAGCGAGGGATCAGATAGCTTCATAGTGCTAGTATGAGTAACATTCATTTTGCTAAGAATGCCACTTTTCATGTCAGGATAAACTTTATTCATATGAGACATCATTTTCTTTGTTTTCTTTTAAAAGATGAGTAGTTACTTTTGGAGAAGATACATATTGCTTGTAATCATATAAATATATTAACTAAGGTAGTGACTATTGAGAAATTGAAACTTTGATTTACTTCAATTGGTGTTTAAGAAAAGTAATGTCACGACCTGACCCGAGGCTTGTAATTAATCAAGGCGGGAACAGACGATCAGATAATATCCTGTTGAGTACTTGCTCATACTACAACAACAACAACAAGCCTTTATCCCATTAAGTGGGGACTACATGAATCCTTTTCTCCATTGCATCACATTGAGTGTCCTATTTTCATTTATTTATTGCTTCTTATTGAGTGCTAGTATATATTAAAATTATTAATATATTCATATCAAATTATCAATCCATTAATCTTCTTTTGAAACTAATAAAAGCTTGAGATTTAGAAAACTCTTACTTGGTTCATTAGAATGAGTGGCGATTAGATACTCACTAGTACTTCCTTGATCCTCTCCCCAGAGGACCTAACTATCTCCACCATCACACCAGCCTCTTGCCACCTTGCACAAACCACTCACATATCAGCAAGGAAAATTCACTTGATTATATATACAACACACCTCCACTATTTATTTTCCCACCCATGGTTAATAGACTGTTCTATATCATCCTTATCTAACACCACCATCATTGGTTGGATCATTCGCATTGTACCTTGCTACTATAACACCTCATCATACTATTATAATAGTTACTGCCCATATGCTCTATAAGAAATCAAGTATTGGTCAATGTTTTAACCATGCCACACAACCAATCACCATTGATACTCATACAAAAATTGATATAAGTTATAAGTATAAACACTTAGCTTTTTGATGTTGCACAAACATAACACATTAATCAAAATAATTAAACAAACTTGGAGAACGCTCCTTGATATTAGCAAATCACAATACATGAGCATGGTCAATCCTTATTTCTTTAAATTTTAACTATGAGTAATTGAAAAGCTTCATAACTACCCCAAATCTTTTTGGTCAAAAGCGTTCTGAGTGCATTGCATTCTATTTTCCTTGATTTTAAACAAAATAAATGCAAATGGAAATTTTGAGATATTAAAAATTCAGAAAAACCTTTATATTTTTATGCATTTCAAAATTAGCCAATTCACTTAAAATAAACTGTCACATTTATCGATCTCGTAGCTTGAGGTTGATTATGTAACCCTTCTCCATCTTCGTCGTTGATGCATTCCCTCAATCCCACCCATTACTGGCGACTTCTCATACCCCCCTCTAATGATATTCTCTGACCTTCTTAGCTTGACTCAATCTTTTTTCCTCTTTAGGACTACTTCAACTTCTCCTCTGCCTCTCCCTCCTCATTTTTATTGGATCCGCCTAGCCCGCCAGCCTCTACTCCACAATGTGTCTTTACAAATGAATCCACCTTCAAATTGCATCTCCAGTAATGACTATGACTCCATGCCATGCCCCCCTCTATGGCTCCCTCTATAACTTTATATATCATTTATGTTTTTCTATCCCTAGTGTAATTGATTCCACCTTCTTTTGTTCCATTTTCATATTAGCTCTATATTGGCATTCTCATGAATAAGAGAGAGATGTTCATTTTAAGAAATTAGTGTATACTTCATTTTATGTATTTATATTATTATATTATTACATTTAGTTGAAAAACTGACATATTTTGAAGAGAATTAAATTTTGATTATCTGTAGTTAAAATGCCTATTTTTCAAAAGGGAATTTACATAACATATAAAATATTGAATTTTATATCTTTCACATTAAAATTTTATCATGTACGTCACAACACATCATTAATTTTCTTTTTTAATTTTCGATTCGTTGCTCAGGTCGCCTTCTTCACTCACATAGAATTGCTCCACTCTCACCCACCCTAAACCTTAAAATATGTATCACTTTGTGCTCTCTTTGCTTTGGCTAGCACAACACCTTTACTCCTCTCTCTTCTCCCTCATGCATGTGCACAATAAGTCTGTTGTGACTCTCATGCTCATGAAAACACAAGCCGCACATAGAGCCACTTCTTTAGAGATTCAAAAAAATGTTTTCCCCTCATTAATGACATACAAAGCATATGAGATATGAGGCCAAGGATCACAAACATGCAACATTGTGATGGGGTTAAGCTACTTTAAGGAGAGGTGATATTTCTTATTTTACTTTGATATTTTGAATGCTATGTATCAAAATTTTTTTTTTTTTAATGTTATTTATATAAAACCATCGTTTTAAAGCGCACAACCATCCACGTTTCTAGAAACAAATCGCCAGAGGTGCATCCTCAGCATTTTCTTCCCTTGAAACCAGCGAAAGGTCTCGGAGCATCATTTCTCCTGCAAGCTCCAATCCCTTTTCCAAATGGGAGACTCCCATGTCATCAACGCCGTTGAGCAGCCACCAGCCAGGACGGTTCTATGTATCGGAGACATCCACGGTTTCTTTTCCAAGCTCCAATCCCTTTGGGCCAACCTCGAGGCTGAAGTCGGCACCGCCGCCTTCCAAACTGCCCTCGTTATCTTTCTCGGCGACTACTGCGACCGAGGCCCGCAGACCCGTGAAGTCATCGAGTTCCTTTCCTCCCTTTCCTCTCGTTACCCCAACCAGTCCCACGTTTTTCTTTGCGGCAATCACGATCTTGCCTTCGCAGCATTCGTAGGTGCACTCCCGCCGCCGCCGGATGGATCACCGTTTTCCGCTACATGGGCGGAATTTGAGCGCAGTAAGGACCGCGAGGGTTGGTTCGATGGCGAGGGGTACGAGCGGATGCACGTCCAGGGAAGGCGGTGGGGTGGATTCATCCGCGATAAGTGGAATCCCAAGAAGAATATGGTTTACAAGGGCTCAATCTACGATGCCGAACCCACTTTCGAGTCATATGGCGTTGCTCACGGATCTCCATGGATTCATCCGCGATAAGTGGAATCCAAAGAAGAATATGGTTTACAAGGGTTCAATCTACGATGCCGAACCTACTTTCGAGTCATATGGCGTTGCTCACGGATCTCCAGGTTTTATGGTTACTCGTTTTTTTCCGAATTTTGTTTGATTTCGGGTCTTACTATCTCCACCTTTTTTTTTTTTTTTTTTTTTTTTTTTACTTGTTTTTTAAACTTGCGCATGTATCTGATAATTGTGACTCAATTTAATCTTCGGAAGTGAAAGTTTTATCAATTCTCTAGTGATGTATCGTCAAAAAGTCTATCTAATCAAATATGAAACTTGATGCAGTATTTTATTTGAAAACTTTTGAAAGTAAATTCAGGATTATGTTAACTTTAATTTTAGAAAACTTACATTCAAATTGGATGTACTTAACTAAATGAATCCAATTACATCTTAAGTGGTTCTATTCGAATGTTAGTGCTCTAATGTCACGATCCGACCCGGGGATTGTAATTAGCGAAGACGTGAACAGACGGTCGGATGATGTAAAATTAATTATTTTATATTCATCTATAATTTAACAAATGAGAGGGTCACAAATCAAATTAAATTAAAGCGGTACGATTTATATTATCTCATTACTCGTTGTCCGCGCTTTCTATTAACGTTTTCTTTTCTATCACTCATCTTTAATCGTTTAATTAACCTAAAAAAATTAAAGTAATAATGAATTAAACGAGTCAGTGAATACTCATACTCCTAAACTACCATAATATAAAGAAAAATAATTATATACATGTCAATTAAGCTTATTTATAAATCAATATAAACATTTAACATACTATTCAAAAAATTTTTATCAATACCATTACTAATATCATTTCATATCTATACAATCATCACAAAATTTTTTAAAAAACTGTGTCAATTGAAACACATCAATATCAATATATTTTTTTATATAAGTACACGGGTACATTAGTGTTCCCCCACTAATGTCATCAAGGATGACTCCATCATAATCAGTCATGCACATGCAAACAATTTATGCAAATCATATCATTCATAATTTCATATCACTCAACTATAATGTATTAATTATTTCATATTATGAGATTGTAATCATTAACATGAAAATGATCGAAAAAAATTTAATAATAGAACAATCAATTGCATTAATCAAACTTAATTAACTCATAGAACTTGTTTAGAAGAGATATCAAAATAAGGTTATAATTTAAGAATAATACTCTTCTTATCAATAGACAATCTGTTTTCTCTTGACGTCGATTCTTTTAAAATAGAACGAATATGATAAAATTTTAATTAATTTAATAAACTATTTTAGTATTTCATTCATGAAATTCCGTTAAAATTCTTTATTCAATAAATATCTTACTATTATTATTATATTATTATTATTTATTATTATTATTATTATTATTAAGTTTTAATATTAACTTAGGGCCCGTTTAGGGGCGCGTTTTTGGTGTGGCGACGTTATGAAAACGCTGTCTACGCTTTTGGTTAACGCGTTCGAGCTGCATTTTTGTAGCGTCGCTGTCGGCACTATTTTTGGTGTGGGGTTTGCACTTAAGAAGCTGTCGGTCATCGGAATTGGAATCCCGT